TGGGAGTCGGTGATGCTGGTGAGAGAAGGAGCACGGGGTGAAGGTGCTGCTCACAGCGAGCCTGGCTTTCAAAACATATGTGACCACCGGCTAAAGGACTGCGAGAAACCTCCCAGGAAAACGTGCAAGCACGGCTTATTTCTGGATCTAGATATATGCCAACTAATACTTCCAGATTGCTCCTTCCTTCTTGGGAATGAGCAAGTGTCACTGCTAGGAAGACTAGAGCCATAGAATCGTAGAATCACGGAATGCTGGAGGTTGGAAGGGAGCTCTAGGGATCATCCAGCCCCCTGCACACGCAGGGTCACCTCAAGCACGTGGCACAGGGCTGCGTTCAAGCGGGTTTGAAGATCTCCAGAGAAGGAGACTCCACAACCTCTCTGGGCAGCCTGTTCCAGGGCTCTGTCACAAACCCCGAGTTTCACAGAACTGCATCCAGTTACTCCTGGGAGATGCCCTGACATGAGAATAGCTTCTTTCCTGAGCTACCTAATGAAAGGAGCAGTTCCATGGCCCGTTGTCTCTTCATTGCTTTCTAGGGTCCCCATGGACACCAGAACATTGCTGCTCATGAGACACTGGCCTGTTAATCCAGGAGCTAGAGCCCAAAGACTGCAGGTCAAACACTATTTCAAATCCTCCAGTTATATGTCATTGATGGTGCACTAAAATTAATAGACTTATCCTCTCTAACTTGGCCCAGAGGTGGCAGCTCCTCTTTCTGATGCATTTCCTCATCTTGGCTTTTCCCATACGACTCCTACAGTTTTGCCCTAAGGTCTCCTGCAGATTCCTTCTTCCAGACAACCCTTCTTCCCACCCATCTCTTCTGAAGTCCCAAGCCTGACTCTGCAGCATCCAGTCATTTATTTAATTTCCCGACTTAACGAGGTTTTAAATTTAATGAAGATAGACTCCTCCCTCCTCCATGGGAGGTGGAAGACAGTCGGCTTCTGCAGAGATGACAGGATATTTCCATGTTCCCAAAGAGAAAGAAGGTGCCTAAGAGTCCAACATCCTCTTCCCCATCCCAGGAGGAATCCTGGGCCAAAGAGCAACACCTCTGAGCCGAGCTCAACACCAAAGAGCACAGTTCTGCCATCAGGAATACACTCTTTTGACCAGACCGACCAACTAACACAGCCACTGCATCATTCCCTGATAAATCCAAGAAAGACTTACCAGTTCACCAATGCAGATGAGTGAAGGAGAAGTCAAATGCGCTGATGTGAACTTCAGAGCTCCAACCTTTTTATATGGTTCGCGTGGCGTCACCGGCGGAAACGAGGAAGCCCAGCGGTAGGGACACCCGACCATTAGCATCCCCACAAGCTCCACCTACGCATAATTTTCATATTTGTTAACATCCTAAATTTGGGGGGAAACCTCTTCCGGGAAAAGCATGTGGTGCTGAGTTAATTCTGCTTCCACCTAATACCCAAGCTATGCAATTCCCAATTGGAAAATACGGTAATTAGAAAGAACCACATACTGGATTAATTGCTTTTTTAAAAAAGATTTAATATGCTCAGATATTTGCATCTGCTTCTAAGTGTCAGAATGATACCTTAGGTTTTTTCCAATACAGTTAGAATCAATGACTGTTATTAAGGAAAGTGGACAATTGGTAGGATTTTCCATGAGAAACATCACGTCCCAATTCTCATGGCAAGAGAGAGCTAATCCTACAGGGGCCTTTGGTGCTTCAGCTGGTTCTCCAGTCCCTTGCTGACCATTAAGACCATCCCAGCCCCTTCCTCCCCAAGCTCTTGGTCTATTAACCAGGTTCACATTTGGCAATTCCAAGCTGGAGATGACTCCGGGTCCCAGGAAGACTTCTCCAAGCCATTCAAGAGGACAGGCATTACCAAACCTTTCCTTCCATCGCCAAAGCAGTGCAAAGGGCCCCCACTCCATTCATGAGAGCATTGGGCCCAGAACTCCGTATTCCTGTATTTAAGCCTTAGGCTTATCTCACGCAGCTCCGGAGCCTGGAAAATCTTTATTTTTTGGAGATGTTCCAGTTAAGGGGAGTGGAACACAGGCACTTGGCTCTACCTCAATGTGTTTTTGTCATTCTTGCCAATTCCAACAATTAAATCATTTACACAAACACTAAACGGGGAAAAAATAAAAAATCCCGTTCAGCGTGAATACTACGTCCTGTTTACACAGGAAACCAGAAGCCCTGCTCAGACTGATTCATTTCTAGTGTTTACATGGGGAAAACGGAATTCCTGCCCGAAACCCATGTGAGCTGAGGAATTGGTGCCACTTTGAGCTTCCTTGCGGCTCTTGCCTTCCCCTCCTCTCTGGTGGCTGCATGGGGACACGAAGGTGACCTGTCCTGCAGCTCTGCTTCATGCCAAGACTAGATGCAGCATTGCAGAACTGAGCCCCAAATTTCCCAAATTTGACATTGGCATAAGCAAAGCCCAACAAGATAGATCCCTGCAGATAATCAAGTGAACTGCTCAGATTTAGATGTCTAATATTCTGTCTGATTCACCTCTCCCCATGTTCTCATCCTCCTCCACTTTCCCTGGAAGCTTCTGCTTCTCCTCCTCTTTTTGGGGAGCTTTCTCTGCCCGGTTTGGGAATGGTTCATGCTTACCTGGGGCTCTCCACTCATCTGGAACACCAATGCTGAGGACTGGTCCCTTTCTATAGGGGGTTATTGTGTATCCTATTGTTACATTTGATTAGCAAGAAATTGAAACAACTTACAGGAAAATTAGATATTTTAGGAGCTGGAAATGGAACTGCGTTTGTAGTATGTGGGAACATCAGACAGCACTGGATGATTATTCTTAATTGACCCTTATTTGTGGAACTTTATTACATTTATGAGCAATTTGCTCAGTTGGCTGGTTCCATTAAGCTCAGTGACTCAGAGCTCCATAGCAGCATCATTTCAGACCCAGGCAAAAGGGCTGGAAAGAGGCAGATTTTCCAAATTTGCTACTTTTGAGATGCATTTAGTTACATGGGGAAGCCCAAGCTCTCTTGCAGCACCGGAGGCTGGGGCGATGGGCAGTGTGCCAAGGAAAAGAACACCAGAACCAAAGCAAAAACCCAAAGCAAAGCTTTTTCACAGAAATCAAGGATACTCCCCACAATTTCCGAATAGTGAGGCCTTCCCAGCCCTCTCACCCCCTTTATGACTACACATGCTGGAGTCTGGGGCTTGGTTATATCCAACTTTCCCACTGGGCACCAGGCGCCAAGAGCAGCTTCTAGGAGCAGCCGTGTCCCGGGGCTGCCCGTCCATCCCTGGCTCCAGAAATCCATGCATACCTCGGATGCCAGGAGCCTGAGTGTGCAGAGCAATTAGCCTCACATGAAAACAAGTGGCTTGTCTCCTCCACATCCCAGGGACAATTTGATCAAGCAATTAAATCATTACTTCTGGGGCTGAGAGGAGCCCCAGTGCAGCCCAATCCGCCTCTTTTCCTGTTTACACAGGAAGGTGAGTGTCCTACAAAGAATGATAAGTGAACATCCGACCAAAATTCCTTCCAGAAAAGAGGAGCTAGATGTGGCGATAGCAAGAAACTCAGATATTTTGATTATTTTTTATCTTCTGACAATTGTCGATGTCTTATTACTTGACACTTTACAGTGGGAATCTGTTTTTCCTTAGAGTTTTCCACCCTGGTAAACGAGAAAATGCCCTGATTCTTGAAGAAGGCGTTATAGACCCCGACACACATTATGTGATACGGGAAGAGCCGTTGGGTCTATGGCGTTCACTGATCCCAGCGTGTGATTTTCTCCAAAAGTGTTATAAGAACATATAAGAACATGACAGATTGGGTGTAAACGTTCAGGAGTCAGGGGAAAAGGGTCCCTGTTCCTCTTGCCATGCCCCAACCTCCTGGCGCCCACCTGGAAATGAAATATCTGCTCCCAGGAATGGTTTCAGCCCTTTAAAAATTGAGTTTCCAAGCTCATCCAAAGGATTAAAGACGATGCAATTGGAGGGACACTAGGGAGAAATAGTTTAAGGAGAAATGGTACCTGAAAGCCCCTTTTCCTCTCTACATTTTCATATTTCCCTGAAGAAACACACAGGCCAGGGTGAGCACTGTGCAATCAAGAGCAGGAGCCAGGTCCTGCCCAAGGCCCCCAGGAGCTGCCCAGGCTCAGCTGGCCTTAATCTGCCCCACTGCAGTGTCCACAGGTGTGATTTATCACATCCCATAATGGGGAAAACTCCTCCAGCAGAAAAAGTGAAACGGAGCAAATTGTGGGTTAGTCGCAGCTTGGAGTCCTGGGGCATCTCCTAAGGACGGGCCGGTGGGTCCTCTGACTTCATCCGCACTCTTCCTCCCTGCTCTCTCCTCCTTTCTGCAGCTGTGGCCAAGTCCAAACCCCCTCTCCTGTCTCCAGCTCTGTCCTCAGTGTGTGCAACAGTGAGATGTGTCCCCCGAGGATGTCCCTGGCTGTCCAGAGAGCAACGTGCAAACAAATTCAGTGCTAATGGGGGAAGCGCTTGGCTCCCATTCCCAGGTTTACATGGAGGGCTACCAAAAATCCCCTGGGACACCCTGCAAAGAGCAGGAAAGATTCCTGCAGGATTCAGTGGGGAATAAATCCTTGCCAACCTTCCTGAGTGTCTTCATGCATTCAGCAGCTGCGGCCCCTCTAAAGAGAGGAGGCTTTTAGGAGAAAATTAAGGGGAGAAAGTGCAACCTGTGGGAGTGGGAGAGTGAAGGACACTTGTGCAGACAGTTGATGCCAAGATCGATAGTTTTTATTGCTTCACATCTACAGGGAAGGAAGAAGACGGAAAGAAAAAGCAAATGGAGAAAGTCCTCCAACCACCCCAGAGCAGAAGGATTGGAAGATCACACTCCAGCGAACACACAGTGCTCCTGGGGGTACAAAGTCACTTAGGTATGAGAAAAGCTACAAGAAAAGTCGCCGTGCCTTAAATAAATACAGGAGAAGTTATGTAAAAATGTAGGAAAAAACTACAGGAAGATCCTCCATTTCCTAGGGCACAAGGCAATGAAGTCCAGAGGAAGAGGTCCCTCAAGGGAGCACGCGCTTGCGACAGCAGATATCGGCACAGCTGATGGCGTAGAACCGGGGCCGGGCGGGCGGGCACGGGGACACGCAGGGATCCGCACACGGGGACGCCACACTGACCGTGCCGCAGGGGTCCACGCACGTGGTGGAGGGGCACTGGGTCACCTCCCCGCAGCACGGATCCGCGCACTTGGTGGCGCCCTTGGTGGCTGGGCCACAGCACGGATCCACGCACGTGGTGGTGCACTTGGTCGCAGCTCCACAGCAGGGATCCACACATGTCGTGGTGCACTTGGTGACTTGGTCACAGCACGGGTCCACGCACGTGGTGGTGCATTTGGTCACTTCTCTACAACATGGATCTACACACTGGGTGTTGCACTTGGTCACAGCTCCACAGCATGGATCCACGCACGTGGTGGTGCACTTGGTCACAGCTCCACAGCAGGGATCCACGCACGTGGTGGTGCACTTGGCGATTTCATCACAGCACGGGTCCACGCATGTGGTGACACACTTGGTGGCTGTGCCACAGCACGGATCCACGCACGTGGTGGTACACTTGGTCACAGCTCCACAGCAGGGATCCGCGCACGTGGTGGTGCACTTGGCGATCTCATCACAGCACGGATCCTCACACGTGATGGTGCACTTGGCGATCTCATCACAGCACGGATCCTCACACGTGATGGTGCACTTGGCGATCTCATCACAGCACGGATCCTCACACGTGATGGTGCACTTGGCGATCTCATCACAGCACGGATCCTCACACGTGATGGTGCACTTGGCGATCTCATCACAGCACGGATCCACGCACGTGGTGGTACACTTGGTCACAGCTCCACAGCAGGGATCCACACAGGTCGTGGTGCACTTGGTGACTTGGTCACAGCACGGATCCACACACGTGATGGTGCACTTGGCGATCTCATCACAGCACGGATCCACACACTGGGTGGTGCACTTGGTCACAGCTCCACAGCAGGGATCCACGCACTTGGTGGTGCATTTGGTGACTTCCTCACAGCACGGATCCACACACGTGACGGTGCACTTGGCGATCTCATCACAGCATGGGTCCACGCATGTGGTGACACGGATCCACACACTTGGTTACACACCTGGTGACTTCTCCACAGCACGGATCCACGCACGTGGTGGTGCATTTGGTCACTTTGTCACAGCACGGATCCACACACGCGGTGGTGCATTTGGTCACTTCTCTACAACATGGATCCACGCACTGGGTGGTGCACTTGGTCACTTCTCTGCAACATGGATCCACACAGCTGGTCGTGCACTTGGTCACTTTGTCACAGCATGGATCCACGTACGTGGTCGTGCACTGGGGACCCACACAGCTGCACGGGTCCAGGCACCTGGCAGCCTGTCCCAGGCTGATGTTACTCCCCAGGTCCACATACTTGATGGTGGACTGAGTGACTCCGCCGTAGCAACACGGATCCACGCATGGATTTAAGCGCTGGACGTTACAGGCAGAGCCGCGGGAATCCACACATTGCTGCTGGGAGAAATTCCTGAGCGAGAAGACAGGAGGAGGAAGGCAGGGCTGTTTGCACTGGTACTCGCTTGGGCAAAACATCTTTGGGGAAGGAGAAAGGCTGGAAGAAGGAAAGGAACAAGCACTGTGTGAAACAGAGACATTCAGCTTGAACGAGGTTGCCTCGTCCATTGAGTTAAGCTACACTCCTTCCAACAGAATATGCAGCAATGTTTGGAAAACAGACTGAAATCCGTAGAGCCCTTAACCCCCATGGAAGCATTTTAGGAAAGGTCGTAGCTACTGCCTGCACAAAGTACCTGGCTGCTTCCCACCTCTCCTGTCTTCCCAGCTCGTCCCATCCAGACGCCCTTCCAGGCACGGCTTGTCCTCGTAGCCTGCAAGTCTCCACTCCTTATCTTCCCTCCCACTCTTCCCTTTGAAGTCTTTGCCTTCCCTTTTGATCCCTGCAAAGCCCATAATTTCCTGGTTAGAGCAGGGTAAGGAGCTGGGCTGCCCTGAAAAGCTTCTCCATGGAGAAGGCGCAAACTGCAAAGCACCCGGCAAGGAGGGCATTGGAGGAGGACGGGACGAGCTCTTACACCTCGCTCAGGTATTTGCTAAGAGCCATACACAAATGTGGATACACAGAAGCACCAGCTCTTCTTGCTCTGCTAAGGACACAGCTAAAAAACACACAGCCCCTGCACTACCTCCCAGTAAGCCAAAAGAGACTTACCCAAATCAGCAGCAGGAACAGGCAGGAGAAACCAAAAATGATTTGAGAAACACCACAAAATGAAGCCTTTTATACAAGTTTAGTGTCCATGGCTCCGGAAGTGAGACACCTCAGGGGTATGGAAATAAAATCCAGGCCTGCTCCACCTCCAATCCTTAAATGACTTACCAACATTACAATTTTTAATGAAACCTGGCCACTGAGGTGGTGCGTACGACCACAAGACTGTCACCCGCGAGCCTGAATTCCTGATCCACATAGTTCAGCCTGGCTAAAGCCCCATCCATGGGAGCACCCACGTGTTGTGGTCAGCTCTGCTCCTCGGGAAGCGCGATATTCCCGTGCACCTGAAACTGGTTACGATTTTGGCAATAGGGTAGTCCGGGATGTCATCACACTGTTGACATTAAGACATTTAATTTCATTTAGTTCCGTCCAAAACTTAAAGAAACTCTATCCCTGTGGCCCATCTCTTTGCACTGGTGCCCCAGGGATGAGGAACCATCCGTGCTGGGTGCTGTGTCTTAGCAGTGATGTTTTTTGCACAGTCAAATCTGAGATTTCACGAAGCTGCTTGCAAAAGATAGCACCGCATCCCTGACCGCAGCGTCGGAGTCACCACTTTCTGCCCGCCACAATTGTGGTCAAGGAAAGAAGCCCTTAACTGAAATTCCCTCGTTAGATGAGAGAAGGGAGCGCTAACAAGGGCAATTCTGGGCAAGATCAAAGACCATTGAGCTTCCTTCTCTGCACGCTCCAAACTAGCCCCAAGTCACTTGGTGACACAAGCGTGGAAGCCGCATTGCCCGCACACAGGGACATGGGCACACGGAGAGGTGTCCTTGTGTTGGCACGCTCTCCTCCCGTTGGACACGCTCTTGAGCATGGTGGTGTCCCATAGCAAACTGTGACAGCAGAAAGTTACACAGTGGCTTTTGGTTATTGCAATTGAAATAAAGAAATTCAACGTGTGTGACTGACTTGGGTTACCAAGTGATTTGAAGTAACCCTTAGTGCAATGGAGTTGACTCTGGTAAGCCGTTGGACCAAAGGGTGGTGGAGGCTGCTTCTCCTAGGACAAAACTGCTTTTCCGGGGCACAACCGCAAAGGGATAGAGGCAACATCATGGCATTGGAATATTGTGTTGTTTTTTGAGTCAGAGATTTTGGAGAAAAGGCAAAACATCATGAGATTGGTGATGATTTCATAAAAGTTTCCAAAAGCACCTCAGGACCTAACTACCAGGAGAACCAGATCTGAACAGGAGAGACACAATGGCAGAAATGGGCCAGATTTAGCTAAAGGAATCCTCCAATCCCACATCCCATCCTGTTTCCTAATGGCACACGTGATGTGCTGGATGCAAGGATGATGTACTGTCCTGGAAAAATCCAACCCATGACTGTCCAAACATCTGATGGCAAGTCAAGAATCCATTCATTTCCCAAATTCTTCTCTGACATCAGCACCACCGAAAGGCCATGTGATCCGCAGCGTGCTTGGGCTCCCTCGAGGTTGCAGCCACGGAAATTGGCAGTTTCCATTTAAAAACAATTAGTCAAATAATCCATCGCGGGGCAGAGGTGGAGCAGGGCTGGGCTGGCCAAGGGGAGCTCGTCGGAGCGCCCGGGGTGCTGCGTGTCTGCAGGCCAAGCTCCTCTGCGCACGCTGCAGAGCTCCAGCGCCGCTCGCCCGGCCTGCTCGGCCTCCCTGCTCGCTGCTGGGTGAGTATCTGCCGCCTCGGACAGACCCGAGCCCATCACCGGGGTTTCGGGTCTGCTACGCGCTGGAATAGCTCGGTGCCACCAGCCACGTCAAGGAAATGGTTTATTCCTCCTTGCGATAAGAGCTCCAAAGAGTAATCGTGATCTTCCTTTGCTGTCACCGCCACGGACGTCCTCCAAAACACGCTGTTGTCTCAGCTCTGGATTTAGAGGACTGAGATACGACCTATCCCGGAGCACGGACACTGCGGGCGCCGGCTGCCGCTGCTCTGCATGTAGTTACCCACCTCCGTGGCAGCGTCAAAGCGACTGCAGCCCCGTGCACGGCCAGGTGAGTGTGCTGAGCCCTCGCTACCTGCTGGGCTCCTTGCTGCCTTCAGCCACGTGGAAGGGGGGCAGCGGGAGATGCAGCCCTTGGGGCCCTCTGCAAGGGAGTTTCAGTGCTGGAACAGGTCTAGAAAAGAGAGGGCAACAGTTCCAAGTTTATAATTATAAATTAAATATATTAATGATAACTATGATTAATGACAATTGCTGCAAAATTCACCATTTAAAAAAAAAAAAAAGAAAAAGAATGGTCTGACGCTTTGCAATGAGCAGAGACCAAGGCTTGTTCTCCTTCAGCCTTGCTGCAGTGTAGAGATGTTCCAGCAGCGCCTGCCACCCTGCATGCCGCCCGTGGACGTGGACACCTTCCCCGTGCAGCGTGCAAGCTCCCCGGTGGAGCCCTGCACCCTGGAGGTGACAGGGACCTGCGTGGACACCTTCCCCGTGCAGCATGCAAGCTCTGCAGTGGAGCCCTGCACCCTAGAGGTGACAGGGACCTGCGTGGACACCTTCCCCATGCAGCATGCCCATCGTGGAGCGGTGCCTGGAGAGGTGCGAGAAGTGGCTGCGGGGCAAGAAATAGCAGCGCGCGACGGAGATTTTCCTGCAGAAACGGCATCTCCCTCTGGTGATTCTCCTCATTTCTCATTTGTATTAAGAGCAGAGAGAAGGGTTTCGCTTTAAATAACTTTTTTTCCTCCGATTGGCTCTTAATTATGACCCTTATTTCTATTGCATAATGTTAAGTGCAATAAAAAGAGCAGAAATATGGGCAATGCAAGTAATTGCTTTCAGAGGCCTGTTTCTTCATCCTCAAACTTTTTTTCTTACCACATACAAATAACTCCTTTCATAATAAGTCTTAAATTCAGTTAGGATCATGTGGCTGGGCTTTCTATCCTCTTTTGCATGCATCTTTTAGGTTGAAATTATGATGAGAATATTAAGAAAAGTAGCTTAAAGGGATCATTTTAACATCGTTTGGGAAAGGTCTTTTAAGGATACATAGAGGACAGCGGAGGGGAGCAGCGCAGACGCCTTCCTGTTGCCCAACTTCCAATCGGAGACGGGTTGAACTTGGCGCAATCAAAAGGCTTCACATTCCCGAAGCAACATTGGGAAAACGTCGGGAAGCAGCCGGGTTGTCTGCGAAGAGCTGCTGAGCAAAAGCCATTTTTACTGACCGATGGTGTGTCGTTCTCCGCGGCCTTAATGTCCTCTGTCACGAGGGGTTTTCCACCTCCGCACGGATATCGAATCCCACCTGCATGTTTGCACCGTGTGCGCGCTTAGAGAGTTGAAACGAGTCTGTGTATTGTAGCAATGATTGCAGCACATTGAATTGAGAGAATAAATCTTCGTGAACCTGAAAAGTTATTTCCTTTTTTCTTTTTTGGTAAGGAAATCCACCGCTCTCTTTCCCACAACACGGTTCCATTGTGCCCGGAACTCCCTATATTCTCCATCATGTTGCAATACGGCTCTGCTACGGGTTAGATTAGATCTGCAGCATTTGACTTTTGAAACACCTATAAATCAAACCCAAGATAGCCCATAGGAACGTAAAAACGACTGCGGAGCACGAAGGGAAGGTGACGAGCGGGGCACTCTATTTTACTGTGCTCCCAAAGCAGCCGGTGCAGCAGGCAGGTAGGCGCCGCTCGCTGCAGCGCAACGCGTTTGCGCTACCCAAACTGTTGTGTCCTGCCACCTAGTCCCTCCCGCAGAATTCCCTCATCCCTGATCCATGCTTGCAGGGATGGACGTGCCAGGGTGTCCGCAAACGCAGTGCCGGGGTCTCTAGCTCCTCAGAGGACTCCTTGGTCCACTCAGGGCCATAAACGCCAGGGGCTGCTCATGTTTTACGTGGAAGCGGAGCCTGCAACAGCGATTTTGCCTTCTCCCAACTCCTGCTCCTGCAGACGGTCTCCTGCCCCTCCTGGGGACATCCTGCTACTAGAGGAAACGGCCCCAAACTGAAGCCCCAAAAGTTCCACAGGAACTTCAGGAAAAATCCCTTCCCAGTGAGGGTGCCAGAGCCCTGGAACAGGCTGCCCAGAGAGGTTGTGGAGTCTCCTTCTCTGGAGATCTTCAAACCCGCTTGGCTGCAGCCCTGTGCCACGTGCTCTAGGTGACCCTGCGTGTGCAGGGGGCTGCACTGGATGATCCCTCGAGGTCCCTTCCAACCTTCAGCATTCTCTCATTCCATGATCCTCCTCCTCCTCCCTTCACCCGTCACCACCTCTGCCCGGTGACGCCTCGGCCTGTCACCAGGGTGGAGCGTAACTGGTACAGCCGGACGGACACCCGGAACTTCAACACCAACAGCCGGGGGAGAGAGGGCAGAGAGCCCTGGGCTGGGCCGGGCTCGGCAGGAACAACCCGGGGGGCAGTTTTGGAGCAGCCCCCGGGCACAACCGGCTCTCGTGGCCCAGTAAAGGGGGAACCGATTCCCTCGCTCCGGTAGCGGCTTCCCGGCGCCCCGCGGGGCCGTCTCGCTCCGTCTCGCTCCGTCTCGCCCCCGCGCCGCCCCAGCCGGGCTGCATGTCCCAACACGTCCCCACGGCCGCCGCGGAGCCCTTTGGAGCCGGCTGCCACGGGGCGCAGGAGCAGCGTCCCCTGCCGGGACACGGCACAGAGCGGCCACGTGGAAGAGGTGGCCTTGGTCCCTTTGGAAAACGCTTCACCCACGGATAACACCCGCTTTGGCGCTGGAGCACCCGGCTGGGTGCACCAGGAGCGAATGAATCAGCGGAAAAGCTGCTCTTTGGGAGAGCATCCAACAGGCTGGAACAGGAGGAGACTGAGACGCCCCCGTCCACGCAGAAAGGCAAAGAAAGGGTTTAATTAACTTCTCCTAACAACAGTTCTTAAAATACGTACTAATTTTTTCTCAAAACAACAGGAGAAAAAGCATCCAGAAAAGTCTTCTTTCAGCCAAGAGATTAATTCCTAATTCTACTTGCGAGATCATTCAAAAGCAGAGCGAGTCCTCAGGCGCTGGAGGCACCGCGCTGCCTTCCAGGGCGCTGCCGCGGGGAGCCCTGGAATCCAATTAGCTCCACGGAAATATGCTAAATATGCTCATTAGCATGTAAAAAAAAAGTAGAAACGTGTATTAGGGAAAAGCTGATATATCGCACTTCTTAATGTCACGTCGAATTAGCAATAAAGAGGCTCGCAACAGAAACAACTCGCCCGAATGGCTGCGAAGCCTCGGAGAAGAACGCGCTTCCCTCCAATTAGCCCCATGCCCGGCAGCGGCAGAGGGAGGCTCACGTGTGCCGGGCTCCGCATGCGGAACAAGGCAGGAAAACCTGGGCCGAAACCTCCGCTCGGTGGGCACGGAGGGAAGGAAACAGCCGGCCGAGGCCGAACGCTGCCCAAATATTTGTTTTTCCCAAAAAGGCAAGTGCCGCCCTGGGGAAGGACGTGCCAGGACACGACTCCTACCCTGCGTTTTGGAGCCTGATGTCGCTGTCCTGCCCTCCCTGGGTTGCAGATAACGTCCAGCTGCGCTAAACGGGGCTCTGTGCCGTTCCCTGCTACCTGTTTCTTGCTCTCGTTCAGTTTACCCACCCAGCGTTCATCCCTCTAACTCTTTTTTGTTGCATAAAACAGGTACGAGAGGCTGTTCAAGGCCACCTGTTATTGTCCGGGGTTGGCTATAAGAGGAACCACCCTGGCCAGGCCAGGCAAAAAAAAGCGGGAATCAGCATCAGGAATGCGGCTCGCAGCTTCCCGAGGAGGCTCCGGCAGGCGCCCGAGGCGCAGGAAAGCGCTGGGTCCTCATGCAAGAGGACAGTGAGGTCAACAGAGCACGAATACAGACTAAATACAGATAAAAAGGGGACAATTTTTGGTATTTTTCCCTGGATGGTAAACGGCAATGGAGCTGCGGGATGAGCCACGCCACAGGCTGGTCCCAAATGCCACTTGGTGGCACTATTTGAAAAGGTTTCTTCACCCGACACAGTCAGGAGTGAGGGTGTTTCTGGAAGGAATCACATCCATCTTGACATGATAATTTTCTTTCTTTTTTTTTTTTTTTCCTCTTTTCTTTCTTTTCTTAATGCCAACCCAAGGCGTTCCTGGCGGTCCCCTCCCCTGGGTGTCACTGGGGGATTGCACAAAACCCCTCTGCAAGCGCGCGGAGCGCGGGCACTCCCCAGGCATCACCCAAAGCTAAAACCTCCCACGGTAAAAAATAGCCTTTTTGGTAAAATACCTCCCAGACGTGTCTGCAGGTGGGGCGGGCTCCGATGGACCTCGCGGTGACCCGAGAAACACATCAGCGTGGAGGGTAATGAGGAAGAGATGAGGCCGGGGGGACGGTGTAATTGGGCTCGGGGTGTTTCAGGGCCGTGCTCAGGGGTGTCTCCCTATTTAAGCCCTCCGAGCACGGAGCTGCTCCCCACGGCGCTGCTGGGGCTCCTCTTGCCCAGGGATTTCTGCAGCAGTCCAGAGATTTTTCTCTTATTCTCCATTTTCTTTCCCTTCTTCTACTTTATTCTGCCTTCCTCCTCCTTTGGCAGCTCTTTTTCTCTCTCCCCACTCATCTCTCTTATTAAGAGTAATTTATCTGTGGAATAAACACACCGAGATCTCTTTTTGCCGGCTCTTTTCGCGCAGGCCGCCTCAGGTTTGCAGGGAGATGGCCCAGCTCCAGGAAAACGTCCTCGGCATCATCAGCACCTTTTGGGGAGACGGGGACCGCGGCGCGCCGAGCAAGGAGGAGCTGAGGCGGCTCGTCCAGCACGAGGTCGCAGACGCCGTCGCGGTGAGCAGCGTCCTCCGAGCGGGGCGGCCGGATCCGACGAGCCTCCGCGCGCCCGGAATTCCCCGCGGAGGCTGCGTCCACCCTGCTCTTGGGTTGATGCGGAGGGTTGATGGATTTTACCCCTGTGGTTGTTTCTTTGCAGAACCCCCGAAGGCTGGAGACGGCGGAGAAGGTGCTGGGCTGCCTGGACGACGACGACAGGGTTGACTTCAATGAGTTCCTCGCGCTGGTTTTCCACGTGGCCAAGGCTTGTTACAAGGAGCTCAGGAAGGGCCAGGCACTAGGAAGGGGTCAGGAGGCGACGGTCCAGGCGGAGGCATGCAGGGAGGATGAGCAAGCCCAGGGAGCTGAGCCCCCAGACACCCCCCAAACCCAGGAGGCACCAGATGAGGAGCCAGAGGCCCCTCAGGCTGAGGGGACCGAGGTGCTAGAAGGGGACCCAAAGAGAAGGGAGATTCTGGACTTGGAGACCGCAGAGCAGAACAGAAATACCCGTCCGGCTGAAGAGAACGGGGCGCCAAAACAGGACCCAGATACCCAGGAGACCGAGGGGCCAGAACAGGGTCCAAACAACCATCAGGCCCCGGATGCTGAGACACAAGAAAATACCTCGAGCAGCCTCCAGGCCCTGGAGATGGAGTCAGCAGAGCAGGACCTCAGTTGTCCCTCTGAGCCCCCAGTGAGAGACGCGAGCAGCGAGATGCAGGTGTGCGCGGCCCCTCAGCAGGACCCCGAGCCCAGCAAGACCCACGAGCTGCAGCTCCCGGAGCAGGGCGAGAGCCCTGGAGAGGGGGCCAAACCCCAGGAAACGCACCAGGATCCACCTCTCCATCGGAGCCACGAGCCGGAGGCGCCGGAGCGGGAGCTTGGCAGCGGTGATGTACAGTTTTGATGCACAGCAAGACGATGGGGTCAAAGATGACCCGTGGCTAGGTTGGATCCACGCTCCTCTCAGTCTCCAGATCTTCAGCAATTTCTTTTTTTAACGGGCACCACAGCAGGAAAGGCAAAACCAATCCCTCTTGTAACCAAGGCAGAAAAGGCAGTAGTAAATATGAATGCTGAAATACATTTCCCTCCATTGGCTACAGTGTGATCTGGGGCACGTTCCAAAGTGCCCCCACAGAATTTTCCCCCTCTCCTTCAGCTACCTCAGCTCTTGGGATCTGCTTGGAGCTCATCCCCTGTCAAGATGTACATTTGGTCCAGTTTCACCATGGTTTGCATTCCTATTTGTCATCTCTTGCCTAACTCCTTATTAACCCCAGGCTTCACATCCCTGACGTGCACTGAGTTATTCAATGCCTAGAGACCTTCTCTTCTACTTTTTTCGGGCTGCCTTTGCTTATGCAACAATAAAACTCAAGGCAAAATGACAGCGTGTCCTGGTGTGTTGCTGCGCGCGTGTTCTCAGCCCCACTCCGAACGGGCAGCCGGGTGCTGTGACACAGCCCAGAGGACCAGGGGTTCTGCCCTTTGCTCAACACGTGGCCAAGTTGCTCCATTTATCAGGGTTAGGCGGAGGGATGGACACACAGAGAGATGGGCTTGTCTTTGGGGCAGATATCCTAAAAGTGCTGCTGTCAGCAGCAGATTCCTCACGTTGAACAAACCTCAGCTTACACCAGGCTGAGTGTGCCTCGGGCTCCGAGGCGCTGGGGTTTGTGTCCCAGTCCAGCCGTGGTGGCGTTGGTGGTGTCTGCAGCACCAGTTCTGCCTCTGGAGACCTTCCCTCTCCTCCTCCCTCGGGCTCTGCTGCCCCGTCCTTCTCCATTGGAGCCAAAACGTCCCCAAAAGCAAAGCAGAGCCAAACCATGGGGCTTGGCAGATGGCTCCAGCCGAGCTGGCAGCCCAGCGGGAGGCCTGGAGCTACCTGAGCCTTTCGGTGACGTTCCTGGGAGAGACTTCTTCCAAGAAGGCAGAGATCTGCAGGAACACAACGGCACGAGCGACCTCCGAACAGACCCCTCGCAGCACCCGGGCGCTCTTCATGCCTGCCACAAAAAGAAGAAACAGCTGCTGACCCCTGAAGGGGAGGGATTTGTCCTAATCCCGCTTAGCAACACTCTGAGAAGCAGGAGAAATGTGGAGCAGGTTGTGAAGATCCAAAGTCCCTTTTGGCCATGAAGTCCCTGAAGGAGATACATGGATAAGACTATTCGTGTTTAATGTATATCTGATCCCAGCAGCAAGCAGGAGGCCAGCAATAGATCCCACACACAGTGTGCACAAACGGAGCCGTTTTCAGACTTAGTGCAGGTAGTTTGGGGAACAGAGTCTGATTTAAAAATGCAGACAGGAATATGGATAGCTCTGAAGACAGGAGCTGTCCAGGGAAGTCTGTGGAGATGCTCCTGAGGCTCAGACAGGTTTGGACCACCAGGACTCGGCACCCTGCTGGGAGGGTGATGCTCAGCCTGTTTTTCCCCATACTTTCTTTCACTTGCAACCTATCAGAAAAATCAGCAAATTATAAACGCGCCCGGCCCTCCTGCTCTGTGGCCGGTGACATGCAGCACCCAGACACCTCACTGGAAAATAAAACATCATTCCTCTGGGACACCCTGGAATTTCACAATTTGCTGCGTGCTGAATCAGAACAGAAAAATCAGCATTTCAAAACCATCTGCACGTATCCATCCACCATCCTTTTACCCATAATATTCTCCTGATGCCCTATGCAGCACCAGTGAAAGATGGGGCTCAACAACCACCGAGCCCTGCTCAGGACGTGACTGCTGCACTCGGAGAAACACTGAGCCTGGCTGGAGTGATTCCAGTGCTGGTGCTGCCAGCTCCGTGTGGGAATAAAAGTGAGTGCAAGAAGAATGTCTTGTGCTCACCTAAATTTGCCTCTGGCTCATTTTTGTTAATTATATACTGTGTTCTGAACAACACTACTGTATTTGAAACTAGGGGGTTTTCTTGGTTCACTTTAACGAGAGTATTATAACAGAGTGAAAATCACCCAAGGGAAACAAAAAGCTCTTTAAGAGCCCCGGGAGGCTGGGAGGGAGCTGCTCCCTGGTCTCCCAGTGCTCCGGGATGAGGTGCTCTACGGGCTCCTCTGCAAGCAGGGACCGACCCCACCAGGCACCACGGACTCCTGCAAAACCGTGTTTGGCTCCAGCTCTTGGCTTGTGGCGTCCCCTTGGGTGGGCTGGCCGGAGGGACGGGAGCTCAGGGGTGCATGGAGGAGCAGGGAACGTGCGGTCGGCCAAGGAACAGCCTCCCTGCTCCCGGCCTCGCTCCGGGGACGGGGTTGGATTGGGAATTGCAGATGCTGCGGGGAGCGGGAGGGCCCCTGGCTGCTCTCGGGAGCTGCCTGCACCACGCACCTGGGCTCGTGCCCGCTCCTCCGTCCTTCTCTGCTCCTGGTTCCTCCAGCCTCCCCTTTTCCAGACCTGCAGGCAACCCGCTTGGGTCTCTCTCACTCCAGGATGGCTCCCTGTGTGATATTCCACCATTCCAAAGGAGCTGAAGATACCTCAAGACAGAAAGGAACAAAACCACTTAATAACCTTAAGGCAGAAGCCATTTTTTTCCCCTAGGGGACAGGAGATTTAAGATCCTTAGTTTGAAAATAAACTCTATTTTGGTGCCTAAAAAGTTTGAAAATCCCAAGCATATCTCCTCTTTTAAAGGGGGGGAAATTTGGGAAGGCTGAACCCCTGGAGAATTTGCGGGAAACGTGCTTTAAAACTTACCAGTCTGCTCCAGGAATGGCAGAAAATGTGGCAAAACGAGGCAAGCCCTTCAACGTGCGCATGATGCAAACGCCCCGTCCCTGCTCCGGCACCCGCAGCCCATCTCAGCCTGCCCAGTGGCCCAAGGAGCGCCCGGTCATCCCACATTGCTGTAACTCCTGCGGGTGGGATTACAGACTGTTATAGGACACAAAGTGCACAAGCTCCAGCTGCACTGTAATCCTCTAATTTTAATAATAACTCCAATCTACCATAAAATTACAGTTTCCCAAGGGTATCATTATCCCACAGGTGGGGTATAATTTGCACAAGTATAATTTAATCTTGAAAAAAAGCTTAAAAATGAAGTATGGTTAGTAACAATCCTTATACGCACTTATATGAGTATCCCCAAGGTGTTACCAGCACTAATTAATTAGGCTCCTACACCCACTATTATCTCACCTTACAGATGGGCCAGATCAGCGACTCACCCAAGGCTGTACGACAAGTTCATGCTCCGAAGCCTCCCCGCAATGTCTCTGTCACGCTTGTCCAAGCAGGGAGCCTTCCTCCAAATCCAAAGCCGGGACCCAGGTGGCTTGGCTAATGTCTTCCTTATTTTCTCTGGGTATCAGGAGAGTTGGGGAAGAACGAAGAAATGAGTCGGTCTCTAATTAATACACTTGAAAAGATAAAAAAAAAAAAAAGAAGGGAGAGATTGTGGAGGTAATTACACCAAAAGCTGCCTAGAGCAACCAGATGAAGACTCAACATAAATCTGCACCTCAGTGGAGAGGTTTTGGCTTTTAGTTTTAATTAAAGATCAAGCAAAGTTAAAATGAAAGTTGTTCTTGGAGGATGGTTAACTTGAAAATGTTCTTTCATGGTTTTTCTCAATGAAAAGTCATTGCTTATTAATCAGACATTTCCTTGTAAAAAACCTCACGTTTCAAACCTTACAATTTAAAAAATATTCCTTTTCTTCAGCAGAAACCTGAATAATGCAATGAAATTACCGAAAACAGTACATTTTTCAACATACCCCACGAGGACACCACCAGACCAAGATGTCGTGGGGGAATTGGGGATGTCACTGTCAAACGCCTCCATGTCACCATTTCAGTGGTGCCCAGGGGTCCTTTTGTCCTTCCTCTGCTGCAAACACCAGCCAGATCGAGTCCGTTGAGCTCAGGCCCAAGGCGCTGAGAGAACTGCCCAAAAAAGCCCATGGATAATCCCTCATGTGCCAGTGCCGAGCTCCCAGGCCAGGCTGATTTCTTACTGTCCCCGATCTGCTCCCAATCTGCTCTACTAAATTCAACGTTTCCAGCAACATCCTCCAAATTTCACCCCAGCACTTTCTGTGTGTGCACATTCCTGTATGCATTTCTGCACATTATACATATATAAAATTATCACCTATACAGACACAAATATATAAAAAATGACACCCCACAAACATATCTTTAAGTTTTACAGCTATTTGAGTTTTTTTTTAAATCCTAAATAAAATCAACCTGTAAAATAACTTTACAACCCGGATTAGGCGGAACCGGCCAGTTCTTGAATTGCCACATGGTAACTGCTATTTCTGGGTGAAAATGATAGGTAAGGGGATGATAAGTTAAATAACCCGTTTGAGGACGTGAAGGTGCAGCTGGGTTTGGCCAAAGATGAATCAGGACAACGTCCACAAAGGGTGTCTCCTTTCTTCAGTTCTGTCAGGGACCCTATAAAAGAACTCGGATCCTCCGCTCACTCCGCACGGCTTCTCTGGAAACCCACTTGATCCACTGGTGACCTGGGTAAGTCGTTCTTTTTGAAACGCTCATTTTGCTTGCGAAGAACATGTTCTTGGCATAGGATCCATCGAGGGTGACAATGTCATTCCTGCGGCTCTGTTTCCTGGGAGTCTTTGATGCTTATATCCAGGAAAGTGTTATTTTGCGAGATTTGGACGTTTGCATGCTGCTAGCACCGTGTCTGTGTGTAGAAGCAATGGTCCTCTGAAGTAAAGAGTAGACAGAGTCGGGTTTTGTGCTTGATTTTGGTCTGGGTTCAGCTCGCAGCCACAATGAACAGATCACAGAAATGTTCAGATTTCTGCTGAGATACCAAGAAATAGGATTTTGGGTACAGAGTGGGGTGCGTAGGTGCATGTGTGCATACATGTTACACAGGCAGCACGGCGGGCAGCACAGCTTCCCATGTGCAAGCTGAGATCCCAGCTTTGATGCACCCCGATAACAGCCTTTGGGATCCTGCAAGGAGGAAGGCGGGTGGCTTTTGAGGTTTCCAGACATAAAGCTCAAGCAGGAGAACTACTTTCTGCTGAGTAGATCGCAGTAAAATTAAGTAGCTCTGACCTAGGTGATTTGGCAGTTCTCCTCTGGCCAAAATCTATTTGCCAGTGAATTGATGCTGTAATGAAAGATCCATCAGTTGATTTACGATACTCTTGGTCATAGGAGGACTGACCACAGGGCTTGTTTTAATGCTCTACAACCTCTCTCTCTAAGCTGGCTAGATCTTGTGTAAGGACATGTCACCACTGCATCAGACACCCTCTAAACTGCTGCAGAGAAGCTGCTGTGTCCTCAGCAGTGTGCACCCTGGAACCATAACCACTTGGTATAGCACTACCTGGACAGGGTTTTGGGGGTATCTCTTGACTCCTCATTTCTCAGTCCCCTCCTCGTGATCCGTAAACGCACACATCCTGCCATCCCGCAGCAGATATTATCCAACTACACTGGCAGGCACCAAGGTGGAGAACACCCCCCTTCCCACTAACCCTCTGAAGCATTTGAATTTCTTCCCAGAGGTCACCACAGCACAGGAGCAGACACGGAGCCCATCAACGCGCACAGCCAACTTGAGCCCAGCGACTCTTCCCTCTCTGCTCACGCTCGGAGACAAATAAGTGTATCCTGACCCTTATATCTCCTCCTTTCCTTACAGGTTTGCTTGAATCTGCAGGAAGATGTCTCGCTTCTTAGACAGCATTTCCACCATCATTAGCGTCTTTTACGAGCATGCAGAGGAAGATGGAGACGGCTCCATCCTCAGCAGAAGGGAGATGAAAGAGTTTATCCTGAAGGAGTTTGCAGATGTCATAGCGGTGAGTGGGAGCCCTCAAAGCCCTTATGGAGGCCGACTGGAGAGCAGTGATTGCAGACATCTCCTCCGGGAGAGGGGATGACTTTCATGACCAGATGGCAGTGGGATGGGGAGGCTCTTCCCAAGGGGTAGCAGCAGATGCATGTCTCTGCACTGACTGCCTCGACAGCTGTTTCAACCAATTCTGCTATGAACAAATTGGCAAAAACTGGGAAGAAACTGTGGGAAGTGATGGTCTTCTTCCAAAGGAAATGCATCCAGTGGAAGAATACAGCACCTGTCAAAAGGAAGAGAACTGGCTGCTTAGCTATAGCCAGGGAACCACTAGAAAATTGGAGAACAAAGGCATGGGGGTGTTGTTGAGCTGTAAAGCTGAAGCTGTATGAGATGGAAGGAGAAAATATTGCGGTTACGCCTGTGTTTGTATTTCTCTGCAAAGGAGCAAGTTGCCTAAAACCCTGGTTTTGTTTTCCTGATTGTTTTCCCTGCAGAACCCACGTGATTCTCAAACCATTGACAAGATCCTGCACTTTCTTGAATGGGATGGTGATGGTAAAATAGATTTTAATGAGTTCCTATTCCTCGTATTCAGAGTGGCTAAGGCCTGCTACTGGTATCTGCAGAAAAGACCATGTCTTCTGCAAAGAACAAAGCTAATAACCAGTGGAAAGTCACTTCAAGAGCCTGAAATTAATAACAGAGGGCACCAACGTCAGCTCCAGGAAGAGGAACCACAAAGCGGTGAGAGTGAACGTCATCCATCCCGTGAACCTCAAACACGTGATACCAGGGCTCGCAAGCTTGAAACCGTGGAGGAAACGGAGAGTCATCGCCAGCAACGTAACACACGAAACAGAGATGGTGCAAGAAGAATCAGCAAATCTGAGGATCTAACATCTCAAGCATATAAAGAACAAAGCCAAGAGCCATGTAACCAACGTAACATTCGCCAGCCACCTGAGCTGGACGAACAAGAAGATGTACAGAGCCATAGTGAGTCAAGAAAGCCAAAACCACTGGGCGATGAAAGAGGTAGCCATCAGACACGTCAGCCAGAGCGAAAAGGAGAGGTGAGGACCCACTGTGGGCCACATGAATCAGAATCGCAACTCAACGAACGTGGCAGCTTGCAGGCACGTCAGTCTGAACCACAGGCAGATGAGAGAGAAAATCAAGAGGGGCCTCAGCCCGATCAAGTGGCAGACGTGAAGAGTCACAAGCAGCCAAATAAACCTCAACCACTAGGAAACCGGTGGAGTAGTCGTGAGCCACATGAGCCAACACCACAAGTGAATGATCAAAAAAACCATCGTCCACAAGACCAAGAGGCAGTGCAAGAAGCAGATAGGGGAAGTCGCAGTCAGCCACAGAAGACTGAACTACTCACAAACGGGAGAAGCGGCTATCAGCGTCGTGAGCTGGAGGCAGAAAAGACTGAAGTCAACCGCATTCAGGCACAGGAGCAAAAAGGAAAGCAAAGAAGAGAACATAAAAGCCCATATCAGTCATACATTGACGAACCAATACTAGAGGAAGGAAGCCGTTATGATACACGTGAGCCAGGAAGACGTGTATATGAAGAACTTCAATACAGAGAACCCAAGGCTGAATGCCTGGAGAGACAGAGGAAGAGCATTCAAGCAGAGCTGTGTGGAGAAAGAGATGATGGAAGAAGAAAAGCAGAGACATATGCAGACGAAACAAGGAGGGGATATTCCCGAGACCACGAAATAGATATCGAGAGAAGGACTAAAAAGGGACGAGTGCAGGAAGAACTCCCACAGGAAAGAAGGATCATTCGCTCCCGTGAGGTGGAAGCTGATGTCTCAGTGAGCACCCAACGCCTCACAAGGGAGAGAGAAGAGCCAGGTCCCAGTGACAACTACGAGCGCACCCGACGCACTGTGGAAGTGGCAGCTGAAGCTGACGTGAGGGTTCAACGTGTCACCAGGGAACCCGAGCCTCGTGGGGACATAGGCAGGAGAGAACAAGACTGTGAAGACATCGAGGTAGACAGGAGAATTCGGCAGGGACGAGAGCAGGAAGAGCCCACACAGGAAAGGAAGATCATTCGCTCCCGTGAGGTGGAAGCTGACGTCTCAGTGAGCACCCAACGCCTCACAAGGGAGAGAGAAGAGCCAGGTCCCAGTGACAACTACGAGCGCACCCGACGCACTGTGGAAGTGGCAGCTGAAGCTGACGTGAGGGTTCAACGTGTCACCCGGGAACCCGAGCCTCGTGGAGACATAGGCAGGAGAGAACAAGACTGTGAAGACATCGAGGTAGACAGGAGAATTCGGCAGGGACGAGAGCGGGAAGAGCCCACACAGGAAAGGAAGATCATTCGCTCCCGTGAGGTGGAAGCTGACGTCTCAGTGAGCACCCAACGCCTCACAAGGGAGAGAGAAGAGCCAGGT